AAAATGTAAAATCGCGCACCACAGCCAAAGTTTCTGTCCTGCACCGTACAAACCATCAAGCAAATGTAAACATTCTAAAGGCAAACCTTGACAAATTATTTTTATAATACAATGGAATTGTACAAGGGGATAATTATTTTTGTTGAAAATTTTCTGTAATCAAGATTCACAAAGTTGCCGTGAGCATGAACAAAGTTCAAGGAGCTCTCCCACTTCAACAATGCTTGTCTTTCTCACTTTCACTTTCCTTTTTGAAAAAGTTTTGTGTTCCCCTCTTTATTTTTGTTGTTTTAAAACTATATGAAAGCACTCAACAGAAATAAATGACTCTCTAAAACTTCCGGGTTGTCTCCCAGGCAGCGCTTTCTTTAAAGCCATTAAGCTAGGCATATAGTGCTCAAGTAATGGATCCACCCGGATCCCAAGGTATATCAAAGCAAATTTTAATTAACAATAATTTGTAATTTAGTAGTGAGCACAAAGTAACATATATCATGCAACAACGAAGTCTAACTCTCTTCCTATGCATCGGCATGTCATAAAAGAACAATTCATGCACACATAGTAAAGGCCAATGCATAGTATAAACAGTTCCTTGCAATTTTATCATGTGGGAAACATAGAGAGGTGGAGATATAGTTCCTCTCTCATAATAATTGCAAGTAGGAGCAGCAAGCACATGCATATTATATCTATCAAAATCGTCATGTGTAGTAGTAAAACGTAACCCATCAATGTAATCCTTAATAAGGGCAAACTTCTCCGATATAGTGTAGTCGGGAGAATTCAAAAAGATAATAGGACTATCATGCATGGATGCAATAGCAACAATTTCATGTTTAACATAAGGAACTATAGCAAGTTCATCTCCATAAGCATAATTCATATTGGCATCTTGGCCACAAGCATAGCAAGCATCATCAAAAAGGGATATTTCAAAAGAATCAACGGGATCATAGCAATTATCATAGCATTCATCCTTCGGTAAGCATGAAGGGGAATTAAACAATGTATGAGTTGAAGAGTTACTCTCATTAGAAGGTGGGCACGGGTGATCAATCTGCTCTTCCTCCTTTTGTTCTTCGCTCTCCTCCTCATCTTTTTCATCCAATGAGCTCACAGTTTTATCAACTTCTTCTTCCATAGATTCCTGCAAAATATTAGTCGCTTCTTAGACCGCGGAGACTTTTTCAATAAGTGCATTAATATCGGAATTGTATTCATAATTATCATAGCAATATTTAAGGATAGCTAAATTTTCAGGTCTATAAACCGAATCATCAAGATCTTCAAACTCTTTAAACATAGATTCAATTTCATAAGCACCCATAAAAGTAACAAATTCTTCTATTTGTTCCACATCGTAGTAATCATATATACCATTAGCATAAAAAGCTAAGGTTTTATTATCATTAAATTCACATGAAAAGGGAAGGTGTTGAGCCTTCATCCTAGAGCAACAAGTATAATCATATCTCAAGTATAGTTGCCTAGCATACCACTTTAATATATGAATTTGATCCCATTATAGTTTCCCTTTTGTGTCAAGCGGTAATCCCTAAAGTATTCACGTTGATACAATGTTACTCCCATTACATAATTGAATGGGGTTTTCTCAGGATTATTAAAGTAGTACATGATATCTTTCATGTAACCAGCATCGAGGGTTTTAGGAGGTTCCCCATCTCCATGAGCATAAAGGACACCTAATTTTGTTAGTATTTCGTGTTCCATATCCATAACTAAAGATAAAGAACAGAAAATAAAAATTACTTAGTGATAAAGCAAACAAGCACACACGAGAATATTCACCCCACGCTATTGCTCCCCGGCAACGGCGCCAGAAAAAGGTCTTGATAACCCACAAGTATAGGGGATCGCAATAGTTTTCGATAAGTAAGAGTGTCGAACCCAACGAGGAGCTAAAGGCAGAACAAATATTCCCTCAAGTTCTATCGACCACCGATACAACTCTACGCACGCTTGACGTTCGCTTTACCTAGAACAAGTATGAAATTAGAAGTACTTTATAGGTGTTGTTGGATAGGTTTGCAAGGTAATAAAGAGCGCGTAAATAAAAGCTAGGGGCTGTTTAAATAAAGACACAACTAAATTAGTTTTAGTAAAGAGTGTTTTGTTACAAGAAAGTTATTTGTCCATAGGCAATCGATAACTAGACCGGTAATCATTATTGCAATTTTATATGAGGGAGAGGCATAAGCTAACATACTTTCTCTACTTGGATCATATGCACTTATGATTGGAACTCTAGCAAGCATCTGCAACTACTAAAGATCATTAAGGTAAAACCCAACCATAGCATTAAAGCATCAAGTCCTCTTTATCCCATACGCAACAACCCCCTTACTCGGGTTTGTGTTTCAGTCACTCACGCAACCCACTATAAGCGAATCATGAACGTATTGCAACACCCTACAGCGAGGATCCCTCACGCTTGCCTGACACGGGGAACACCATAGGACAGCACCAATAATAAAACATGCAACTCAAACCAATCTTGATCATCAAATAGCCCATAGGACAAAACGGATCTACTCAAACATCATAGGATAGCCATACATCATTTGGAAATAATATATAGCATTGAGCACCATGTTTAAGTAGAGATTACAATGGGTAAGAGAGAGGTTACACCGCTGCATAGAGGGGGGAAGAGTTGGTGATGATGGCGGTGAAGTTGTTGATGATGATGGCCCCCGGTGGCACTCCGGTGCCACCGGAAGCGAGGGGGAGAGAGCCCCCCTCCTCCTTCTTCTTCCTTGACCTCCTCCCTAGATGGGAGAAGGGTTTCCCCTCTGGTCCTTGGTCTCCATGGCATGGGAGGGGCGAGAGCCCCTCCAAGATTGGATCTGTCTCTCTGTCTCTCTGTGTTTCTGCGTTCTCAGATTCTACTCTTTCACCATTTCTTATATTCCCAGAGATCTGTAACTATGATTGGGCTAAAATTTTAACACGATCTTTATCCGGAAATTAGCTTTCTTGCAGCGAAAGAAGGGCTCCAACCGCCTTACGGGGTGGCCACGAGGGTCAGGGGCGCGCCCCTGCCTCGTGGGCCCCTCGAGTATCGTCTCGCATTGATTTCACTTCCCAAAAATCACATATATTCCAAAAAAATATCCGTCCATTTTTATCCCGTTTGGACTCCGTTTGATATGAATTTTCTGCGAAACAAAAAACATGCAACAAACAGGAACTGGCACTGGGCACTGGATCAATATGTTAGTTCTAAAAGTAGTATAAAAAGTTGTCAAAAGTATATGAAAGTTGTAGAATATTGGCATGGAACAATCAAAAATTATAGATACGATGGAGACGTATCACCCCTCCACCATAATCCACCTCGGTCATATCATCGTAGTGCTTAGGCAAAGCCCTGCGACGATAGCATCATCATCACCGTCATCACGCTGTCGTGCTGACGAAGCTCTCCCTCGACACTCAGTTGGGTCGAGAGTTCGTGGGACGTCACCGAGCCAAACGTGTGCAGATCGCGGAGGTGTCGTACTTTCGGTACTAGGATCTGTCGATCGTGAAGACGTATGACTACATCAACCGCGTTGTCATAACGCTTCCGCTTACGGTCTATGAGGGTGCGTGGACAATACTCTCCCCTGTCGTTGCTATGCATCACCATGATCTTGTGTGTGCGAAGAAATTTTTTGAAATTACTGCATTACCCAACACCTATGACTACCAAGTTAACTAGCTTCACATCTAAGTTCCCTACCATAACTAGCTTCACCTCCAAGTTGACAATCTTGTAGGCAACTTAGGTTTTTGAGGTATGCTAACATTATCCAAAGTTGCCTTTCATGACTGGGGAGTAGCTTAAAATCATTCTTAAGTTGCATAAAATAATTTTTGGATGGTAAGCAACTTAGTTTCATATATAGACAACTTAGGAACATTAATGGCCAACTTTTTCATGTATTGTGGGCAACTGAAATAATAATGAGAGGCAACTATGCATCACCAGTAGGCAACTTCAGAGTGTTTGTAGACAACCTAGACAAATAGTGATAAGCAACTTCACAATATTGTAAGCAACTAATTTACAAAGTTAGGAAACTGAGCAATAATGGTAGGCAACTAATTACCAATATCAAGCAACTATGCATCAATGGTATGCAATTCCATAGTATTTATAGGCAACTAAGAGCAACGGTAGGCAACTAATTACCAAAAGCAAACAACGAGGCATCTAAATGCACACGAGGATTTCTCGCGATAGGCAATTTTTTAGACAACGGTAGGCAACTAATTACCAAAAGCAAACAACGAGAATTTCAACTGAGCAGCAACGGTAGGCAACTTTTTGGATCCCCACCGTGCGAGTCAGCTGCTCTTTCCACATTTGGATGAGCACTAGTTCCGCCCACTAGCCATGTCCTAGATTTAATAGAATATTTTCTAACATTCTCTATCCAAGCTAGTGCCGTACACTTGTAAAGCGTGTTCGTTAGCACAACTAGGATGTGGAAAAACAAGCGAGCAGCCAGAGAACAACTTGTCTTGCTGATTGTTCCGTGAACTGTTGGTATTACATTTGTCCATCCGAATTTCATAACGGCACTAGAAGCAGTATGTACGCTTAATCGAAAGCCCCCGTTTCGCCATACGCATCGGTGGGTGCAATGCATTGCAAGCAGGCAGGTTCTACACGGAGCCGAGGCCGCCGGACGTCGGCGAGGTACGTATTCGCCGGCCGCCGTGTCCTCCGTTTACCTACGCTCTGCTCGCTTCCTTCCTGATGCTTTTCGAGCCTTTCCGTTTCATATCTCCTTCCTTTCCTTTCTGGCCCGATCCGCTTCCAGGGTGTTCGTCCCGGACACGTACAAGGAAAGGAAAGGCGACGTGATAAATATGGCCCTCGTTGTCCTCGTCGTCGACAATTTCCTTGCTCGTGGACGGACAGATCGATACGCCGACGTGACTTGCACGATCAGATCAAGCTTGCGAGCGAGACAGCCGGCAGATCCATGGACGATAACATGCTTGCTGGCCTGCTGGCGGGCGCCGGCCTCCCCGCGCGGCCGCCGGGCGGCGACACGCCGCTCCCCGACTCGTCGGAGCAGATCTACATCGCCCCCGTCGCGCTCCTCAAGATGCTCAAGCACGGTATGCAGCCAACTAACCGACGACCAATCTTAAATCAATTGCATTGATCTGATTCTGATCTATGGATGGTTGCAGCGCGCGCCGGGGTGCCGATGGAGGTGATGGGGCTGATGCTGGGGGAGTTCGTGGACGAGTACACGGTGACGGTGGTGGACGTGTTCGCGATGCCGCAGAGCGGCACGGGCGTGAGCGTGGAGGCCGTGGACCACGCCTTCCAGACCAACACGATGGACATGCTGCGGCAGACGGGGCGGCCGGAGATGGTGGTGGGCTGGTACCACTCCCACCCGGGCTTCGGCTGCTGGCTCTCGGCCACCGACGTGCAGACGCAGCTGAGCTTCGAGCAGCTCAACCCGCGAGCCGTCGCCGTCGTGCTCGACCCCATCCAGAGCGTCAGGGGCAAGGTGGTCATGGACGCCTTCCGCCTCATCAACCCGGCGGCGATGCTCACGGGCCACGAGCCGCGCCAGACCACCTCCAACGTCGGCGGCACCGTGCGCCCCTCCGTGGAGGCGCGCGTCCACGGCCTCGGCGTGCACTACTACTCGCTCGCCATCGGGCACCGCCAGAACGAGGTCGAGGAGCGCATGCTCGCCTGCCTCAACCGCAAGCGCTGGTCCGACGGGTTCGTCCTGCAGAGGTTCGAGGACGCCGAGAACGCCGGCGCCGTGAGCGGGATGCGGGACCTCGCGGTGCAGTACGACGCGCAGGTCAGGGAGGAGGACGTGACGCCGCCGGAGAGGCTGGCCGTGGTGAGGGCGGCCAGGCCGGACGCCAAGAAGCAGCTCGGGGAGAGAGCCGAGGCCGCCATGTCCGGCAACATCGTGCAGACGCTGGGCATGATGCTCGACACGGTCACCTTCTAGGCAGTATGTGGCTTGGGTTTCATCGGTTCAGCACTATAATTGATATCTTTTTATTGTGCCAGTTTCATAGTTGGATGATCTTCGTTTGTCTACGGTGATCGTTTTTTGCAAGGAGCTTTGCTACGGTCATGTGTGCAAAAGATGCTGTCGAAGAGATATTGCCCGATGTATGCACGACCTGAAAATCCAGCGGCCGGTCATGCGCATGTCCGGCTGGATGTATGTGTCGTCTGTGAATCGTCTGAATTCTGTCGTCCGCATAGCACTGCTCTTTTTGAAAGATAAAAAGATTTACTCTGCTCCTCGGTTCCCAAGTTAGCACTCATGAGGGGCAGACAATACTCGGTTCCCAGCGCCTAGTGTTTCTTAATATTTAACCTTTTTAAACATTTTTGCACTAGACCAATAAAGTATTACTTCCTCTGTCTCGTAATATAAAAACATTTTCAAGCTAAAACAGCTTGAAAAGCGTTCTTATATTATAGGACGGGGGAGTACAATATATTGAATCGTATGTGCACACGTGTTGGAAACTAAATAATATTTCTCAAGTAATATTCTGTACTTGGTAGCATTCACAATTGTACTACCCCGTTCTTAAATATAAATCTTCATAGAGATTTCACTATAAACTACATACAAAGTAAAATGAGTGAATCTATACTCTAAAATGCATCTACATACATCCGTATGTGGTTCATACAGTGAAATCTTTACAGAGACTTATATTTAGATACGGAGGGAGTAATATGTTTTGGATATTTCATTATGGACCACGTGTAGACCAAACTAAAAGGGTTGGACGCGCTTTGTTGCGCCGTTGGTGTTGTTAAGACTCTTTAAAAAAATACTCATTCTGTTTTAAAATATAAGGTGTATTACTTTTTTTGAAAAGTCTATTCTCTTTAAGTTTGATCAAATTTATGAAGAAATATATCAAAATTCGTAATATCAAATTGGTGTTATTAGATTCATCATGAAATGAATTTCCATGATTTTTTGGCTTAATATTGTGGATGTCGATATATTTGGCTCTAAACTTGTTCAAAGTTAAACAAATTTGACTTTTTAAAGAACTAGTACTCCTTGTATTTTGGAACTAATGGAATATTTAGTTTGGTGGATGGGGAGACGATGGGTGTGTTTTATGTTTATTTATAATGCGGTTATTTGATGGGCCTTTCATGGTGTCATTATGTGTTATGCGCTAATCAACGCATATTTTTGTGGGTAAATTTCTGCGTCGGTGGCTACATGTACTATATTTGTACTATAGTATCATCACATTGTGGCACTTGTTTTTGCTAGGTGGTTAGAGGGTGCGCGGGGTTGATATGTTTTTCTAGTCGGTTGGTATTGATTGATTTGAAAAATCGTTGGCCCGATCAAAATCATAAACCAAATTCAAAATTGAATATCTCAATCGAATAAAAGAGTTTCAAAATTAGGAAATATGATGAATTAAAATAATTAAATGGAATAGCTCCGTGAGAAATTATTGACCCGATCAAAATCAGGTGACCAAGTTCTAAACTAAAGACTTGAATTAATCATGAGGATTTAAAACTTAGGAAGCACCGTGTATAGTATAAAAGAATTAAATGAGAGCTATGAGAAATTGTTGACTTGGTCAAAATCGGGTGAATCAATTTCAATTGGACACTTCAATTGATTGTGGGGCCTTTTACCCCTAGGGAGCTTAGTGATACAGTAGATGAGTGAACAAGGACATTAAAATGCGTCTATATACATTCAAATCAGTATAATTGTGAATGAAGAGAATACACCGATGGAGCTCGGCAATGGCCATATGGGATTCTACCTATCAATGAAAGTCGAAAGTCCTAATAAGGTCACAACTGACTGAAGAACGAAACACACTCGAAAGCGGGTGATGGTTTTGAGTTCTTGGAAGTCATAGCAAGGATGTGGGGAATCCCTAGGGCAATGCTCCTACCAATAGCCCGGCTTGGGAATGTGAATTCCTTTGCTCGAACAAAATCTCGAGTGGCAGTTGTAGATTTGGAATGCGTTTGGTTGAAGGTGTGGTATGAATGGGTTTGGACAATTTTTTTAGGATGAGACCAATTAAGACATGTGTTTGTCTATGTATAAGACATGAGCTAATTATTTGGGATGAGACCATCAGTTAGGCTCACATGTAGATCTCTGAAAAATTCGCGATGAGTTGGGATGAGACCAATCAAGACATGTGTTTGTCTATGTATAAGACATGCTTGCAAAGGGTGAATCCCCGCTTCGAGGCGCTTGGTGTAGATCTCTGAAAATCGTCAAATCGGGTGAGCCAACTATTATTGAGGGAGACCAGGTCTACATACGTAATATTAAGTTTCTTTGGTTGCGTGTCTTTGATACGAAAACATTATTATCCAAGCAAAGGGAATAGAATAGGTGATAACCCCGTCCCGTCCCATCCCCCCCCCCCTCACATCAAGCATGCCCGCTAGCTACCAACATCTAAAATGAGACATATAGTATGGAGTCCATGGCTACCTCTGCTGATGGAAGACCGTATAGCCTTTAAAGCTATCAATTTCTTGGGAAGGAACAACATCTTCAGGGTATATTCGTTTTCTAAATAGAACCATTAAAGCGCTCTAATAACCAAACAAAAGTACCTTGGTTCGTGCCCTCGCCATGAACTGACTGGCCGGGAGCATTTTTGGAACAGGAAACGGTTTGGTTGCTGCCTTGGAAAAGTGGAAGTCGGGTTGGGATGGCACCCGAGCACCGTAATTCACCTGGCCTAGGATAGCACATGCGACCAATTTCAAGCGCCCTATCAGGATACTAGTTGCGAAACAGCAGTGTTGTAGCGTCTATTGAACAAGCCAACAATGCAGTCAACGGTCCTTTTTGAGAACATTCCTCGGGCCAGGACCTCTACACATTAATTTTGCAAAAACTACCTTCATCCCGCTAAATGTCAATCCATTTCAAGCTCCTACCATGGTTTCAACCAGGGGCCCGGACGTTGCACCCTTTCCGCAAATAATGGCATCACTTATCACCGCACAAACTGAAGGAAATATGCCCTAGAGGCAATAATAAAGTTATTATTTATTTCCTTATATCATGATAAAAGTTTATTATTCATGCTAGAATTGTATTAAACGAAAATATAATACATGTGTGAATACATAGACAAACAGAGTGTCACTAGTATGCCTCTACTTGACTAGCTCGCTAATCAAAGATGGTTATGTTTCCTAACCATGAACAAAGAGTTGTTATTTGATTAACGAGATCACATCATTAGGTGAATGATCTGATTGACATGACCCATTCCATTAGCTTAGCACCCGATCGTTTAGTATGTTGCTATTGCTTTCTTCATGACTTATACATGTTCCTATGACTATGAGATTATGCAACTCCCGTTTGCCGGAGGAACACTTTGTGTGCTACCAAATGTCACAACGTAACTGGGTGATTATAAAGGAGCTCTACAGATGTCTCCAAAGGTACGTGTTGGGTTGGCGTATTTCGAGATTAGGATTTGTCACTCCGATTGTCGGAGAGGTATCTCTGGGCCCTCTCGGTAATGCACATCACATAAGCCTTGCAAGCATTGCAACTAATGAGTTAGCTGTGAGATGATGTATTACGGAACAAGTAAAGAGACTTGCCGGTAACGAGATTGAACTAGGTATTGAGATACCGACGATCGAATCTCGGGCAAGTAACATACCGATGACAAAGGGAACAACGTATGTTGTTATGCGGTCTGACCGATAAAAGATCTTCGTAGAATATGTAGGAGCCAATATGAGCATCCAGGTTCCGCTATTGGTTATTGACCGGAGACGTGTCTCGGTCATGTCTACATTGTTCTCAAACCCGTAGGGTCCGCACGCTTAAGGTTTCGATGACAGTTATATTATGAGTTTATACATTTTGATGTACCGAAGTTTGTTTGGAGTCCCGGATGTGATCACGGACATGACGAGGAGTCTCGAAATGGTCGAGACATAAAGATTTGATATATTGGAAGCCTATATTTGGATATCGGAAGTGTTCCGGGTGAAATCAGGATTTTTCTGGAGTACCGGGAGGTTACCGGAACCCCCCCGGGAGGTATATGGGCCTTAGTGGGCTTTAGTGGAAGAGAGGAGAGGTGTCCAGGGCTGGGCCGCGCGCCCCTCCCCTCCTAGTCCGAATAGGACAAGGAGAGGGGGGCGGTGCCCCCCTTCCTTCTCTCTCTCTCCTCTTTCCCCCCTCCCGAATCCTATTCCAACTAGGAAAGGGGGGAATCCTACTCCCGGTGGGAGTAGGACTCCTCCTGGCGCGCCCTCCTCCTGGCCGGCCGCACCCCCCCTTTGATCCTTTATATATGGAGGCAGGGGGCACCCCTAGAGACACAAGTTGATCCACGTGATCATATTCTTAGCCGTGTGCGGTGCCCCCTTCCACCATAGTCCTCGATAATATTGTAGCAGTGCTTAGGCGAAGCCCTGCAATGGTAGTACATCAAGATCGTCACCACGCCGTCGTGCTGACGAAACTCTTCCCCGACACTTTGCTGGATCGGAGTCCGGGGATCGTCATCAAGCTGAACGTGTGCTAGAACTCGGAGGTGCCGTAGTTTCGGTGCTTGATCGGTCGGGCCGTGAAGATGTACGACTACATCAACCGCGTTGTGCTAACGCTTCCGCTGTCGGTCTACAAGGGTACGTAGATCACACTCTCCCCTCTCGTTGCTATGCATCACCATGATCTTGCGTGTGCATAGGAAATTTTTTGAAATTACTATGTTCCCCAACAGTGGCATCCGAGCCTAGGTTTTATGTGTTGATGTTATATGCACGAGTAGAACACAAGTGAGTTGTGGGCGATATAAGTCATACTGCTTACCAGCATGTCATACTTTGGTTCGGCGGTATTGTTGGACGAAGCGGCCCGGACCGACATTACGCGTACGCTTACGCGAGACTGGTTCTCCCGACGTGCTTTGCACAAAGGTGGCTAGCGGGTGACAG